CGGGAGGGGCTGCGCGCAGGCAACGGCCCTGACTGGAAACTGCCTGTGCCCGGCTGGGGAGAGCGGGGCGAAGGCAGCGCCTCGGAGGAGCAGTACATTGGTTCTCTGTAGGGTTCCTTGAGCATCTCCCTAGTCGTGGTAGTGGCGCACATGGTGACATATTTGGGATTTCCAGAAAACTGGACAAAAGCTGAATGTGTGAACACAAATGTGGATCTAAATAAACATATCTTCAGTTTTCAAGCTATTTTGCTCTTCCACCTCCAGCCCTGGGCTGGGTTTTACCCACCACTTCCCCAACCATTTCACTTCTGACTGGCTCCTGCGTTTTTTTAAAGTCTTAGCTCTAGGCAGGGTTTCAGCCTGTCCTCTTTTCGTAATTCCCCTTTTCTTCAGCCGGTGCCTGGGAAGGCTTTGGCTAGACACTAAAGCATGCAGCGTCACTCCATCTACGTGTACCTCTGTGGGTTTGACACCCAGACTTTATCTAATTCACTTCTTTTTTTTTTTTTAAATTATTGCTTCTGTATTTCTACTCGTTTGGCACACGTTCTAAGCTCTCGGATGCATTGCCCGATACTCAGACACATAGTATTGGATCAAAAAAATGTGAAGCTGTATAGTGCCCTTAAGGCAACCACCAGTTAGGTGCTAAGGAGAGGGACTGAGTAAAACAGTACAAGCAGCCCAGGTGGGCTCTGCATACGTTAATGGAGACTGGCTGGGGAAGGGCTTTTCTACTACACGCCATTACAGTTATTATTACTCTTTTGGTCATTTTTATGAGTTCAGTTGTAGAAGGTCCATCTAGTAGCCCACAGCAGTTGTTTTTAATTCACACAGGAGGATCCTACCGAAAGTACCGGTCAGCTCTGAGCTGGCAGGAGCTGCAGAGACGGCGTTGTCCATCTGGGGAAGAGGGCTCCTGTTTTAGTGAAACAACCGTTTCTGCTCTAGGTATGAGTGGCGATGGGGCAGGTTAGGGGGTTGTGGTGCTAAAAGTAACTGCTGCCTGTCTGCAGGGACCCATGCGCAGCCCATACAGGTTACCAAACATTTTGAGGTTCCCACTCGCTTTTTCCAACAGGCAGCTCTCTCCGCTGCCTTGTAGAGTCAATCCCAAATTGATATGCTGCAGAGAGTGGTCTGTTCTCTTCTACGGAGTTCAGAGCAGGTCACCTCAGTGGGGAGAGAGGTACGTAAAATATTTTATGCTATGTAGTATCATTGTCGATAACTGCGTATCATCCTACGCGCCTTACTCCTAAGCCTGTAGTTTTGTTGAAAAAAACCTCGCAGTGCACAAAAGCAGTACTGAATTCTTAATAAAACACGTGCTTCCCTAAATATTTCTTCAAAGTATGAACATTGGCCGAGCACAGAAATAAAGAACTGCTCCCAGCATTTAATCCAGCAGGATGAAAATTTTGGAAGTGCTTTCATTTATGCCCACAAGTTCACAGGCACTGGCAATGTCCTGGGAGTCCAGGAGTTAAAAAACCGTTTGGAAGTTAAGTTGCTCTAAGGGTATAAAAGAGGCTTCCATGGCTTTAGTTCCTCAACTCATGTTTGGAAATGCACTGTGTCTGTCCTAAGAAAGCTCTTAGGAGACATACTTCTTGCATATTAAATGAGGTAAGTGCATGGACGATCTCTGTATTTCATTCAACTTTTTGCAAGGAATTATAACCATTACAATACCATCAGAAATGAAAGATATTTACTAGCAGTGCATATTTGCATTTTCCCATTTACCCTTCAAAGTGCTGTGCTATTTAAATTCAACAAACCAAGATTCAAAGTGTGAGTCATTTTTTCAGGCAGCGTGTAAATAGCCATTTTGGCACCATCACTAAAGAGAGCAGGGTCAAAGGACAGTACAAACTGTCCAGCGTTGTAAAATACAGCTTTACTGCTTTGTTTAATAAATTACTTACTATGATTACATATCTAACAGCGTGCAAGTACAGGAGTAATACAGCTGACTGTTCAAGTAAACATAGTATTAACTCACTATAAGGTTCAGCAAATCTGTAGGCATAAGCTGAAATGCAGAGGATAACTTTTGTAGGAAGTACGCTCACGGCAGAATTCATCTAGATGTGTAAGTACTGTGTTTAGCTTTCTTTTCGTATACCTATAACCTATCAGTCTGGGTTACAAAAACCTCTCCCAGATGCTAGCCAAATCTTCTCCTAAATCACTGGAGTATAATCTTAATAAAAAGGAATTCAGTTTCAATAAACGCTTTCTTATTCCTTTACAATGCAACATTTTTATGTTGTGTGCAGGACACTAATTGTAAGCACTTCTGTTGCGTATAGTGGTAAAACTTACTGTTTGTTATTGAGACCTTTTATTCGAAAAGTTTTAGCCCTCTGTACTAAAGCATTTGGGAATGAAAGTATTTTTTTGTCATGCACTCAAGTAGTTCAAGGCTGAAGCTGGGCTGTACATGGAAGGCTGCTGCTCAGCTTAAGTTTCCTTTGAGAAAACCTATCTGAACACTTTTAGAACTGGAAGAAGTCAGGTTTGTTGACTAAGTTTTTGGGGAGGAGAGCACAGCTCTTGTTCCATTGCGGTCTATATCTATTTCCTTTTTTACAAGAGGATTACAGAAATTAGAAGGGTCATCACCAACTAAGTTGTTTCAAAGTCACAGAGGTCTGTGTTAGCAGATCCCAATACAGAACTATAGCGAAGAATGCTAGATAAATTGTGGATAATTTGCCCTTTAATTTTAGTTAGCGTTCCTTCCAGTCACTGTTCTTCTCACACTATAAAACAAACAAACAAAAGGGTCATACAAGCAACAACGTTTTGAGGAACTCAGCTGTTCTTGTTTTATAGATGACAGTACTTGATGTTTCATCATTATGTGTTGAACTCAAGCCAAGGTATGATTCATATTTTACTGGTTTTGCTCAGTTTAAATCATTCTGTTCTTGTTTACTGTAATGTTTGTGCAATTTAAAACATACATGAGTATACTTGCTACACCTAGTTTGAAATGCAAAACAGACTTTTAAGTGAATATTGTTTTAAAGCATATATTAGAAAAGTCTTGTACATTTTTTTCATTAGTGTTGTATTTACTTACATATCATATATTAATGGAGATTGCCTGAAGAAGTTAACTTCTGAACTGTATGACCATTAACAGAGATATTACTAAATATGGTAAATAAAGGGGAGGGATCCTTTAGAGGGAGGAGTGTCACTTTAGCAACTCGCTGTGTTGCAAGGGGAATCTAAAAGTGCTACAGAAATGTTAATATACTTTCATTCACATCTGACTAAAACAGCTTAAGAATTTCCTGTCACAAAAAGTTAAAAGAATTTTTTCTTGAAAACAAAAGTTTTGTTTTATCATTATTTTCTGTTTTGCTTTCAGCAATTCTTAAAGCTGCTGAATAACATGACTTCCCGTTCTGTTGTTCATAAACCTCCGGTAAGAAAGGTTGCTATCTTTGGAGGAACTCACGGTAATGAGTTATCAGGGATATATTTGGTCAAGCACTGGCAAGAGCATGGAGCTGAGATTCAAAGAACAGGAGTGGAAGTGAAACCATTTATAACCAACCCAAGAGCGGTGAAGAAATGTACTAGATACATTGACTGTGATCTGAACCGCGTTTTTGACCCTGATAATCTTGGGTAAGAATAGCTGTTCTTTGTGTTGTTTCATTTTTCTTTTTTTTTTTAAATTGTAAGGAGCTTCCCTTCTAGATTAAAACGTTAACATAAGTTTCACTACTATTCTAACTGTGCAGTCACATAACTGAAATTACTGACCTTTAACCCAAAAATAACAAATTGCCTGAATGTAACAAGATTCATTTTAAAAATATTGTTAGTACAAGGAGTCTCAAACCAACACATAATCTTAAACATTATATTTTAGATCAGTATTAGATTAGCTGTATTTGTGTAAACTTAAAGTATTTTTGCTTCTCTGAGTTGGGCAATCAGCTTTGGATCTCTTCTGAATACAAATACATTTGCAGGAAGATAGCAGATGTGAAAACACAAAGCCATTTAAATATGAACCTATTACTAAGCATCTGAAAAAAGAATAAAAATGGCATGCACTTGGGGAAGTATGTTTAATTTCTGTTATATATAATAAAACGTGAAATCTTGAAATTAGCCAAGTTAGAAATATGTATACCATGGCAAAATGATACACAATAATTTAACTGACATATTATTTAAAAAAGAAGGCATACAATCTATAATAAGAAAATTGACATGAATCTATCTATTTGTATTTGAGAAATCTATTTTACATTTTTAATGGGATTTTATGTTATTCTGCTTTTGAGGAAGCTATTCCAGATGTGTACTTTGCTGTATGAACCAAACATTGTAGTAATGCATCAGAAAGATTGTAAAGGTAAAGCTGAATATCACTGAAGGAAATATATATATCGCATATATTTTATAAGTATGGTTCTTCTTACAGTGCATCTATGCCTGTTCGCCTGACTTTTTATCTTACTGAGGATTTTGTTGTTAGTTATTCCCTATAAAGTAAACAGACTTTTTAAGAAATGTGACAAATGTTTAGGCTGTGCTCTTAATTGCTTACTTAAGATAAATATATGTGAAAAAGGTGGGTTTGTTTGTTTTCAGCTGCTTTGAACATAAAAGGCTTGAGTAAAAATTGTGGGTTGTCTTCATTTTTTTGCAATTTTTACTAACATTCCTCAGTAAAACCTCTTCCATTGCCCAGTCTTTTTGCAGCATTAGTGAGTATTTTTGAAAGACTTTCACCTGACCCCTCTACCTGTAGGCTCTTCAAGATTACAAATGATTTTACAAAATAAGAACAAGGAGAATGAAATCCTAATACTACTGAAAGTAATGGTGGATGCCCTGTTTGCTTTAATAAAGTGACTGTTAAGAGTCTCACTGGAAGACACCTTTAATTTCAAAGGCAGAACTAAAGAATGCAAAGGTGGAATATGTTATATACAGAACCATAAAAATAGAAAAGGACCTTGAGTGGTCACATAAAAATTCTTAACCCTCTTGTCCCACCACTAGATCGATTGCATGTCAACCATTCCTAATAGATTATGCCTTGCTGATTCTTAGAAAGCTTCAGCAATGGTGGTCCCATAATTTTCCTCAGCAACTTCTTCTGACGTGTAAATATACTTGCAGTTAGTAAGGTGTTTCGTTAATTTCTATCAAACCTTTCTATGTGCAACTTAATATCATTATTTCTTATGAAATTAATAGTCTTGTAAAGCTTGAGCTGTAGTAAGAAAGCAAGCTTGCTTGAGCCCAAAAGATAATAGGTGTTTCTATATGGCATATGGGTAGTATACCAAGTCTGTCATCAAAAAACAGGTTTGCTGTCTTTGCAGAACAAGCCTGAACCTACAGTAGTTTTGTACACTGTTAGTGTAAGAAAGATATCTTTCTGTCATACATGAATTGCCTGTAGGCAATTTCCCAATACAGACAGGAAACAGAAGATCTCGGACCTTTTCTTAGGCTAAGACCGTTCTTTAAGTGTAAGGTAGTCCTAGTCACGTGAGATTAAAAATATCAAAACCTAGGATGAACAGATTTGAGGTAGCAAGATGAGCTACCTCACAAAGCTATGAGTTTAGTGGGTCAGGAAGGCTCCAAATAACAGATTGTAAAAGCTTGATCAGAATATGAGAAGACAAGAAATGAAGCAAGTTATGAAAGACTTTGCAACTGAGGTCCAACATGAAAGGGTATGAACCATTATCTGAATGACTACCATCTTCAGTAGGAGCTGGATCCAGTCTTGGAAGTGGCTTTAAGTTGTCGATACATTTTGAGGTAGTTTTCTGCCTGCAGAGAAATTCTGAGTTGTATGGACTAGAAGCCAATGTAAAGAAATAAAAGAGAAGTAAATTGTTCTCCAGCTAAGATCAGATTAAAAAATTCTTACTACCCTTTGCATGAGATAGCTAATAAGAAAACTTGTTTTTTTATTAAAAGTCATACTTGCTTTATTCCAGCACAAATTCATCAACTTTTAACAGGTTGGTAATTAAATAGGAGATTTCAATTCCAATCAAATATGGAATTAAAGTAAAAAGAAAAGAATATATGTGTTTGTTTTTGACTGTAAAGCCATGGAATGAGTTTGCTAATTTCTTTATACTAATATTAACAGCAGGACAGTGGTGGAAGATACTCCATATGAAGTGAGAAGGGCTCAGGAAATCAATCATATATTTGGTCCAAAAGGTAGTGATGATGCCTATGACCTAATTTTTGACCTTCACAACACCACTTCTAACATGGGTTGTACTCTTATACTCGAAAACTCCAGGGATGACTTTACAATTCAAATGTCTCATTATATCAAGGTAAAACTCATTTAAATGAACTATTAAAATATGTTTATTTGTAATATTGTATTACTATATATTACTTTGTAGTTTCTTTAAATACACTTTTTTCTGCCAAACTGTTTATTTAATTACTGATAGGATGGGTTATTTAATATCGGAGATAATTAAGAATTTGATTATAGTATCAGGTAATTCAGATTTGAACTCACTGTAATCTTCATGTATTAATAACTGATGGGCAACTGAGTAATGCCTCAAATAACATATATGAAAATAAATGTAATTGAACCTGCTTTTACACTGTTCTGTCAGGACCTTGGAAAAATTTGGGTCACAGATGCTGAATAGTTAAAACATTAATTTTCTGAATGAAAGGCATGGAAAAAGATAATGGAATCAGGTAATGGCAAACGTTCCCTTGATCAGTATTCATAGGAATACTGATATGTCTTTGAAAGTTGTTTGATTTTGCTGTTCCTGAAGCTGATAAGTATCGGTAGAGTAGGGTTTTCTAAAGCGCTAGCTTAAGTGCATTGAAACTATTGGTGATTTAGACAGATTTTTAAAAATTTCTTACTTTAGAAACAAGATATACAACATTTGATTTTTTTCTTGTTACTTGCATCCTATTTGAATCTTTATAAGATATTTGAAGATACAGACAGCTTATGGCTGAAACTGTATGAAGACTGATATCCAACAAAGTAGTGGTAGGCAGCAATCAGGAAAAAGATCTGAAGTAGGATTCTATGTTAAAACAAGTTGAAAAAAAGGGTAGTTCACAATTAACGTCCCCGTAAGAAAATCTAAATCTAACAGGAAAAAAAATTTGAAATTTGCTTTACACACTTTTGATTCTGTTTTGAAACATTGATGAGTAGGGTTTTTTTTTTCCTGTTAGCAATTACAGACTAGAACTGTGTTCATTTATATTAGCAGACAGCAAAGTTCAGTGGGGCATGCCTGGCATGAGCTAACGGAAAGGAGACCAACAAATACAGCTTTGTTTGTTTTCTAAAGATGTCCTACTTCTTTGAGGACCATGAAATAAAGGCAACATATTGAAGACATTGTGTAAATCACTTCTGCATCAGTAATCTTTTGTAGCACAACATTTAAAAATATTTGCATAACAAAGACATTTTTAAACAATCTTCACAGAATGCTTTGGCTCCAGAACGCTGTCCTGTTTTGCTGATTGAACATCCAACCTTGAAATATGCAACAACTCGCTCTGTAGCAAAACATCCTGTTGGTAAATATGACAAATAAAGACCATCTTTAACCCACCAGAAATGATTAGACCTAACTGCCTCGATATCTGTTTATTTCATTATATTACACGGAGTGGTCTGATAGCATTAACTATTTGTTTGACAATTTATTTACCGAATCAAACATACATGATTATCTCTTCTTTCCAAAGAAAACTCATTTTTGTTTGGGTTACAAAATACAGAAGCCTGATGGAACTTCATAAATTCAGTTAACCCACTGTTTTCAGAAAATATTTATAATATTTGAGGATAAGGAAGAAATAATCAGCTTCTGAAAAAAAATGTTTACTTCCTCTAAATAAGCCTTGGATGAAATGTGGCTTGCTAGCCAAGAAGCGGAAAAGAATTGATCTGATTAAAGACAGGGGAAATGATGTTCGGATAGAAGTGGTTAACTCTTTCATTTGTGGAATTAAACCATAACCATAGGAAAAAAAAATCATTATTTTGCCTTTCACATTAAACAATGAGTTCTGTAAAAGGTAGCACGGAAAGGAGGAATAAGGAAAAGAGTAAGAGAAATGAACATATATTGTGACCCTCTTCTCTTACCCTAGTAGCACATCTGAAAATGTACATACAGGTCTTTAAACCGATGCTGACTAGTGAGCTAAGTTTCCTGCTTGCGTCGCACAGTCACATAATTTTGTACTTTAAATTATTCATCTTAAACATAAAACAGTCATGTATTTCTGCTATGTATTCTAAGCATGTCATATATAACGGCCATATTAATAATCTCCCTCATTTGTAAACAGGCATGGAGGTGGGTCCGCAACCACATGGTGTTGTTAGAGCTGATACTTTGGACAAAATGAGGAAGATGATCAAACACGGCCTTGATTTTGTGCACCTTTTCAATAAAGGTAGAGTAAGTAATGCAAGAATAAATTCCCATGTGTCACATCTGTAGATTATTGCCAGAGAATAGTTTTTTAAAAAAACAGATTGGGCTACAACATTTTACAGTTAAACAGGTTAAGTTGGGGGGAAGGGGATTGTTACTAAAAAGGTGAATGAACTCAGTGTCTCATTATTTTAAATAACTGTGTGAGTACTGACAATTTACCCACACGTGGGTTTATTTTAATAGTATTCCCCTTTATGGGGATTTTAAGCTAGTAGCTACCTGTGACCGTAAGTGATTTTTATTTAACAGTTATAAGCTATTATTCATGAACTGAGAATTTTCAAAACATACAGTATTAACTACAATGGTACCAAAGATTAATTACAAAAATACGTCCTTTTTGGTAATATTGATTAAAGTGTATCAGTTCCATAATAGCTTTAATCAATAAAGAGTACTTACGCTCTACTCTAACAGTGGGTACGTATTTCAGAGCTGAGTTAGTCTCAAGGTTGCTCTAATCTTTGCTGGCTAATTGCAGCCCTAGGATACCTAAGTCAGAAATGCTCAGTGTTGACCGATCTTCCATTAATACTGTCATACATTCTGAATACCACCTAAATGTTAGTTTTAGGCCAGAAGAATTCCTGTAAAGCTCCTCAGGATAGCTTTAAGGACATTTCCCTTTTCTGAAGATTCAATAAGTATTCTGAACCTTGATCTTAAAGTTGCTTTGCAAATCTGAAATAGTAGTTAGCAATATTTGTACAGTAGTATGTACATTGAGAAGACTATATACATAAATTAATATTAAGAAGTGTTTAATTTGCATGCCTTCTATGCATGCTTATCTCAAATTATTATCAAGACATTTTGTAAGATTTTGTTCTACATCTGTGTACTGTATAAAATACATACTGACAAAAATGAGTGTTGAAGGTCTGAGTACATTTTGTCAGCGGGGGTTTTTTTGGAAGCAGAAGGAAAAGAATATAGTTGTGCGTGTCAGGATTGCCATTATTGTGCTGAAATGGTAAAGGTTTGATAGCACTGATATCATTCAATGTTATGCAACACTACCAAACACAGGTATTGCATTAAGACGATATATTTTGTAGATGAGGAATTTAAGTATACAGAATTGACTGGAAGGTCACATTTCAGTACTACTGATCAGATTGAGATCAGGGCTCTGCATGCAGCAGTACTCAACTTTCTGCGGCTTGGCTTTCAGGGGACTAAAAATCTAGAGCTATCCATTTTTATGATACATGAGCTAATCACTAATGTAAAATTTGATCAGGTACAACCTTATGACTTAAGCCATTCTAAAGAGAATAAGTAAGTAATGCAATGCTCTTTTTAACAGGCAGTTATTCATTTTTACCTTAAATTACATTTATTCTTTCTAGGAAAAGAATTTCCACCATGTACAGTTGAGGTTTACAAAATAATGGAGAAAGTAGATTATCCCAGGAATAAAAATGATGAAATTATTGCTGTTATTCACCCTAAACTGCAGGTAAATTCTATAATACTTCCATTTGAAACATTTTATAAGTATTCATGTGCTGCTTGTGTTACAGTACAGTATATTTTTAATAGCAAATGAGATAGTTACAATGACAATATTGCCAATGGATTTACTGAATACTTTAGGTTCTCCATCTAGTAAAGTTATATCACTAACGTTATACAGTATTTCAGTAACTGACTTGAGAATCTCTGAATCTAAAAACAATTTTGAACCCAAAACTGAAAAAACGATATCTAGAAAGATAGCTTATATTCTAAAAAGTAAATCTAATTTTAGATTCTGAAATGAGGGTCTGTTTTTAATCAGCAGTGAACATACAGAATTTCTTTTTTGCCCCCTTACCAGTGAATTCTACAGAAGCCTGAAAACAAGGGCCAGAAACCAAACTTAGGTAGTGAAGATTAAAAGGAGTTCATTTAAAAAGCTTTTGCCATAAACTGCAGAGAATATAACTTAGGAGCACAAACTTAGAACTCACATGAAAGTTACAAAAATTTGAAAATAAATATATTCTATTTATTTTCTTTTTCTAAGGATCAAGACTGGCAGCCAGTGAACAAAGGCGATCCTCTATTTTTGACTCTTGATGGAGAGGTAATCGCATATAAAGGGGACAGTACCGTCTATCCGACATTTATTAATGAAGCTGCGTATTATGAAAAGAAACAAGCTTTTGTAAAAACAGTCAAAATAAAACTCACTGCAGAACACCTCAGATCTTAGACCAGAACACTTAAAAGCTGATAACAGATTTTATGCACAAAGTGTGTATGTCTCTGCTGTGAAACTGAGTTTCAGATATTAGTAATTTACAGAATAAATAAATGCAAAATCCAATTTAAAATAGTAATTTAATTAACATCGCTGAGCACTTTTAAGACCAAAACTACTGTCATAATGTGAATTATAACTATTGTTTACCCATTCTAATAGATTACTATAGATACAAAGAATAAATATTATTTGTATGTAGTTTGTTAATTCACGCAATATAAAATGTTTAAACAATAAACCACACACATGGATTAGTAGCTATAAAACTTTCTTCAGTGTCATATCTAAACACGATTATTCCCTAAATTACATTATATAAAAAAACTACAGAATTTTTACTTTATAACCCCAAACCTTTGGGTTTTACTTTATAACCTACACTTTAAAGATGGGATGATTCTTGAAAATAATTCCTCACATAACTCGTACAAGATGTGAGACAAAAGAAATAAGTTGGGAGGAAGAAACTGGGAGAGGGTAGCTGTGGATTAAAATGCCTTTCTCATCTGCATACGTGACTAACCCCTATTGCAGTTGAAGTGGAGCGCTTAAGGTTAATTCTGCTTTGCTTTTTACGCTTATAAAGATATAGTACATGCTAAAAACATGATTTTTGAGAAAAAATTACTCTAAAAAATCTGTTGAAACTGAGAGTATTGTAAGATTAATTCAAGCTGTTTCTGATTTATCTTTAAATTAAAGACTTAGTTTTGAGTTTAGAAAGTATCCAGTACTTAGAAACATACTGGAGCAGTATTCTACTTTATGAAAACAACATTTATCCTTTTCCAAGGATACTTCTATTGTGATGGAGACAAAGAGTTTTTCATAGCTTTATAAATTTTTTAGCTGCATCCATCTACTGCTTGTAACATCTTCCAAATACAATGTTCATCAACTGTTGTACCCCAAAAGCTTTTAAAGTAGTAGTCAGGACGAGGTAAAATTGTTTGGATTTTGATGAAGAGCAATGCACAGATCATATGTAGGTATCTCAAAATGGAAATTAAGAAGGATTCTGTATCTGGAGATTTCTCAGAATTTTGAGACTCATTTGTTCTGTATTTATAGAAACAAAGCCTGACTGTTAAGAGTAGCTGAGAAGAGGAAGAAAATGGTGATTTAATTAACTTTCTAAAGTTGTTTTAACATTTTTGACAATAATCAGGGACAGAGAAAACATTAAAAAAACTTTACATAAATTCTAAAAGCATACAATAATTAGCTATTTACTAAAAGGTTCTTTGTCCAGATAACCCCCAAATTACATCCTTTGGAAAGTGATGTATTCCTTATTCACTACTCTCAGTCAAAATCCTTTTTTCCTCCCTTTCTGCGGTTCTTATGCCATAGCAATAAAATAAAGACACAGGGCAGAATGAGACGTTTATTGAATTACATGTTTTATTTCTTTATATTTAAATAAATATTGCATAAAAAGTTCAGACTGATCTGTTGTAGTCATTCATGGAGTTCTTGCTCAGAGCCTCAACAAACATACGAGACAGTAAACAACTGGTTTGCGTGATATGGCCAGGCTCTGTGGCCACAAACACAAAGTATTTTCTCAAGGAGGAACTTCTAGAACCAACCCTCCAGCTCCTTCCTCAGTTTTATCACACACTTTTGTATGTGGACATCATCACAGCAAGTTCCTTGCATTTGTTGTGCCTTCTCTGTCTTACGGCTATGCCTACATAGCGACCTCAATACAGCACAGACACATCTGAACTTGTTTTAAATGAGAAGTCCACAGTAATGTGGAGTACAGCGCAAGCTAGTTTATCCTGGTTCCTGAATATATGTGAAGAGGTATTTTTTGGTATAAAAACTGGAATTCAAAAGAATCCCAAAAGAACTGCATAGCCCTAAAGCAAAAATCTTGGTGGGCTGTTTCAATGCAAAATTAACCAGCAGAGATTACAGATTCCCAGAAGACAGGAATTTTTCTTCTCATACTCACATACCCTACTAAGAAGGTCAAACAATGCTTAGATATACCAGTATACTGATACTCATGACTATCCTTGCCCTCAGATTCCCGTCCCCTCTAGAAAAGTAACTGAATGGAAGGTTTCACTTTGACCCTGTCTATCAGGGCTATACATAGTAGGGAACACAGGATATGGCATCTAGAGAAGACCAATTGGTAGTGAAAATCATGTTTACCATTCCTGCAAATAACTTTGCACTATACTTCTCTGCTAGAAAGTTCTTTCATGCTCCCTTTTGTGGTGAGACAGTCTTTTGGATCGTTTTGCCTGCTTTCGGATTAACTATAAGAATCCAATGCAACTCATACTATCATTCAAACACAGAACAGAATTTACCTGTTTTCTAAATAGCACCTTTAAAACAGGTACCAAATCAATATATTAGATGAAAACTCATGACAATTAAGATGCATACCGTATTAACTGAATAATGAAAGTCCATAGAACACAAATATTTCTTTTTATACATGCACACAAAAAAATAGAAAACTAAAAATATAACTCATAGTCCTGGGTCATCTCAAATGATGAAATAAAAAGTGCTACAGAAATGCATTACTCACTCTTCTAAATAATAGCAATAAAAAAAAATCTTAAAAGGTTGCATTACATTTAACTTATTTTGTTTCTTTGGGAAAAAGTACTGACTTCCAATTTTTGTAAAGTAGTTGAATGTAGAAGTTAATTTCCTTAAACCTGCAGAATTTCAGATGTGACAACCTTTTTTATGCAAGAAGATGTAACAGCACGGAAAATTCAAGTAATATCAGGAAAATTGAAGTCACTGTGATTTGAGCCAACTCAAAAGTATTCTCCATTAAAAGAATTATGTTTCTGCCCCATTATTTTATAGCAAGGCATATATATATCCTCCAGAATAAAAAGCAGTAAACTCATCATACCCTAGGCATTATACACAGGAAAACAGATCAGGCAAAGCTAATGAGACTTGAAGAGGGTGTCTTTTCACTTGAGGCTTTCCTTAACTTAATAGATCAAGCCCTCAATAACACTGACAGTCAATATGAAAGCTTCAAATATATTCAGAACATTGTTATTTCAAAATAACATACTTCATTTAGTAGTATTCAAAATTGAAATGCCTTTCTTTTCTCCCTAACAAGAACTTTTTTCAGTATAATGTCTCTCATGAGTTAAAGATTCCAAAACAAAGGACAGTGGAGTAGATCAAAGATCTTAATTTTCCACAAAAGGAAGAAATATCTCACATTTGACTCTTTTTCAAACAGTACAAAGTCTAGAGCCAAGTTTGAGTAGCGTCATGCAAACTTGGACAACATTTTTTTTTCCCCCAAGAGGCTCAAAACTGAACCAGTGAAATAGTCCACTTTGTTTCAGCTTAGCTGCCCTGATCTGATGGGTTAAAGTCATCAGATCGTGTCACTGAAAGTTTGTGTTACAGCTGGTTACAGCTGTCCAAAATATCAACAAGAATTTCAACATCAGCTCCTGATGCTCTTAACCTTCAAAACATCCACATATCAAACAGTGTGCAACTAAACAGAAGTTTCAGGCAAATCATCCATTTCATCACATGTATTCAGGGTGTTTTTGCTATTACTTTTTGAATTATCTTGAACTTTGCTTGGATCTGCAAAAAAATGCATAACAAACAAAACAGGATATGACAGCAACTGTGTACATTCAAGACCAAATTAAAAAAATATATGCATTTATTTAAACAATGAATTGTCAGTTTACTACCATATCTTACGCAGAAGTTTTTGTCTGCTCCTTTTGGCTATTACTGAGATCATTCTACTAAGAATCATATGTGCTAATTGACTAAAGAACAAACTCTAAACTGATCTCTCTGACACTCATATGGCCCTACGGTAAATGCTGAGGCTGGCTGCCAGAAGGACATCTGATACCTCAAAGTCAGGTCATTTCGTATCACACTTCCAACAGTATCAGCAGATGGTTATCTTAAATTTCCTAGTTAACATTCACAATTTGTCATCCAATATGTATCATAAAATGTAAACACGAATCTTCTAGAGCTAAAACACAGCAAACTATTAGGTAGAGTCAGTTTGACTTCTTGCCAAACTTTGCAATGATATATATGACTATGCAAGGAGTAAAGCAATGTAATTTATGACAATTTAGTGTTTTCTGTCCATTGAAAAATTATTCGCCTTATACCTTCAAATGCCGTAAGAGAATATAACACTTAGATCAAGCATAAGTGCTTAGAGAAAAATAAATAAAGAAAAGGTAAAACCATGATGTTTTGGTGTCACGACATAACTAATGAGAATTAGTGACCAACCCACTGTCCAAACCTTTAAAAATAATCATATGCCCCCACATATTAGCCATCAATGTTCCTAGCAGTAAATAGAGTGGGTGAGGATCTAGATTATGAGAGTTTATATTTTAAAGGATATAAAAATATTACAACGTTTAAAAAAAGCAATTTCACAAATATGGTGGTATAAAATTCAGCAGTACCTGTTGGCCCTGGATCTTCATTAATAAATGAAACATGCGTTTTCCACTCGGTCCATTTCACTTCGTTAATTCTGTTTATATTGTATATAAATTGTGTTATTAGCATGCATTATCTTCCAGCTACATAGCTACACTTCCCCTTTTATTTCTTCATTCCTCTTAGAATTGTCATGAGTTACCATCAATACCTGCTTAACTAGTACTAAAAGAATTAATGTCTTTTGCACTATTATGTACTGTATGCAGAGGCGAATAATGCTCAGACTATTCAATAATTTCACACATTATGAGCACAAGCTTGAAATTAACATTATGTATAAATATTTTTCATAAAACAGCAGAGTAACATTTTTTCAATATGCTAATCATATCAATTAGCAATCAATTATAAGAATAATTTATTTTAAACCGACATTTAAAGGAGATTACAATGAAGTAACCTCTACTGGCAAAGACTTGGTACTCGTACATTAAAAACACATATGAAGTTGAAGAAAATCTATTTTCTGCCAAAAAAAAGTTAATTGTCTGCATAAAAAGCTATGCCTTTTCCCTTTTTTAATCATTGATCACAGCTGAAAAACCCCAACTGGGTTTTTGTACAACTAATATATTTACTATTTCTTCATATAAAAATCTAAGCATTAAAAGCAGAAAATATGCATAGAGAATGTTTTGAAGAGGCTTTTAATAGAAATAACCTTGAAGAGACATACAAAGAAGAATCAGTAGCACAGTATTCTAGCTTTGCTTTACCTTAAACACACTCTTGTATCATTTTCAGCCACTTTACATCGTTCTCCCAATTGGAATTTTTTCTTCAAAGATTTTGGTAAGAATTTTTCAAATTCCAAAATGGTCCTGGCTCTCTGTTAACGACAAGAAGTAACACAAGCATGGTTAACCATATTCAAAAAATTGCCTGATTTCATAGCATATACAGTTTGCAGGCTCCATGTTTCATTACAACTCATCATGCCTCCATCCACTACACTGACATCAATAGCAGTAAACACTATTTCATCTCACTTGTTATTTTGCATGCACAAGTAGGAAATCTGCAGCTTCCGCTAGTCAGTCCCACTGCAGGAGGTATACCTAGAGAAGAATCAAGAAACCTTACTCTAGGGTCAATGTTTAACTCTAACGCCTTCACACAATGCTCTGCCACAGGGATATATATACACTATAGTAGGATGCTGCCAACCACAGAAAGTGACTCCAATCGTAATTCCGACTGTGTCCTCACTGGCAGCTTGGGACTCTGAGCTGACTAGTCTTGGCAAAGATTATGCAAATTCAAGAGAAGGAGTAGCAGAACACCATATCTTTCAGTTATCTGGGAAGATCATAAAACACATCGTCCTGGTGACATAGCAAGGGGAACGTCATAAAGGTATGTGACTGTGCATGGGGTTGAAAATCTGAGCCACAAAATTACCTTTAGAATAGCTGTTAATTCCAGAGTTATTAGATTACCCCAATACTACAATTAAGTATTATTTCCATTATTTGCATCCATATAATTCCTGATGACTCCCATAATTAATACATAATTCCATCTATCAGTGTGGTAAGTGATCATAGGTACAGCTCAGAAGATTTTGGCCAATGTATTTCTACTTCACTAAGCGAACTAGCTTGCAAACCAACCTGGAGTTTCCAAATGTGCTCACTCTCTTTAGAAATATCTTCCACAGTTTCTCCCATCAGTGCAATAAGCATGTTCAAGAGAAGAACAAAAGTCAACACAACGTAAGTTATGAGGAGGAGAAGAAACAACACAGGATACTTTGAGTTTTCCTGGATCTCCAGATCTCCCAGTCCTAGGGTGAGCTTAAAAAGATCCATCAGAACAGGTCCCAGACTGCTGTTGGAATGGCATTCACTGCCGTCTGGGCAAGTTTTAATCAACGCAGCAAGAGCTGAGGAAAAAAAAAAAAAAAGAACATTTTAATCACAATAATGCTTTATGTATACATTGCATTTTATCCTAAAGAAATCAAAATGCACTGCATAGTAAAGAGCTACAGCTGCCCAGCAACATGCACAGCAGCAGCTAGATGACAGATTAGCAAGATGAAGCAAAAAGAGCCCACATCCAAATGAAATTGCAGGTAATTGAACAAGAGCCAAATTACTTATCTATTCAGATATTCTCTAGACAGCTTAAAACTCTAAACCTGGCTTTTTAATATCCAGCAGAAACCCTGACATGAGCTCTCATCATGACAATAGGGTTCTTATTCACAATAACGCCAACATTTTTACTCACACAGAGCATCAGTGCTTTTCGCCAGTAATATTTACCTACGCCAAATCCCAGCAAAAACACGATATAGACAACTAAAAACTTTATCACATCTTGAAGGATGACCTAAAAATTAAATTAAATATTTTTCAGAAATAAAAATTGAGAACTAGTTTTACAGCTTTGTGTTCTGCAGGAGTACAGGTGTGGTACACACTGCAGAATCAGATTGTTTTCATTAAGCAAACTAGCTGTTCCGTGAGAAATCTAGAGAAGATTTAGGTCGGATTTTTCATGACAGGACTGACAGCCTGGTATGTCTGTGCACTTCCAAGAGTGACTATAGCTGCGCACAATATAGGCATCACAATGCATGATGCAAATAAACAGCAGAACTCTGTTAGCTGAAAAAACACAATTTGCTTGCATATTTAATACAAGGTTTTTAAAATCAAGAAACAAGCAAGTTTCTGCCATTGAAGTGTATTATATAGTACATTCTGCTGACTAAAAACTGGAAATTTCAATGTGAACTATAAAATACATCTATATTGCTTAACATGCATGACTAGAATTACATATATAAGTAAACATCATAACAAGGAAATTAAAAAATATACTTGCCTTTTGAATCATAACACTGTAAATGCCCATGGACTGGAAACCTCTGGTGAAATAGAGCATATTAGCCCATCCTAGGGCCATTGCCAAAACAAGACACACGAGGTGTTCTTTGTAGGAAAACAAGTACAAAAAGACAGAGAAGATCACAAGCACAGCTTGTATAAAACTGTTAAAAAACAAACACATGTATGTAAAAGGAACTTACTAGCACAAAACCAACAATACAATGGAAAAATACAAAAACAAGACTTCTTCGCTTTTTACCCTTTACTGCTAATTTCATATTTCGTTCCCTTCTCCTCATGAACATTATTATTCTAATTTAACAATAAAATACATGAGTACAGAAAATTTAGGTATATTAACATACTGTTACGTTTATTAAAGCTTACTTTCATTGAACTGTTCTCCCCAAAATAGCTGGTAAACGTAGATTTTGCTGACAAAAGACATTAGGAATTCTGAACAGTACCTTTGAAGCAGTTATTAATGTTTTAGTTTAACAAGCTGTTAAAATCATTACAGAGTTTCCATGAACATCTATGCAAGGAAGACTCTGCCTGCTAAGAGAACTCGTGATGTGCTGTGATAGCACGTGGGCGAGATTCTCAGCAGCCCAAGATTGATCTTTGTGTGGCAGGAGAAGCAGGAGGAAAGAGAGTTAAGCCATCTCTCTTTTTCTTGATCCTACAACTAGAAAGGAGCCAGATCAAAGAGTAATCAGAGTAATTTAGATCAAGCTTAGGGCTGCCTTAAATCCTACCATACAAGAATAAACCTTTTTGCCCCAAAGGATCATTCCAGAGAGTCAAATTACAGAAGTATAATAGCAAATTGGGTAGACCTTCTGGCTTTGGTAATACTTCATCTTCCAGGACCAAGAAGGAATAATCTACACTGTATTTAGACCAGCTGAGCCAGCTTTATGCTATTTTTCCTTCCTGAAGTAGCCAAGAGGAGTCGGAAGCTAGATCTGCCTTATTAACCAGTTTTTTAAAGCACTTTTCTCTATATACAGCTCTTAAGAGAGAAAACACCTAGACAAGCTAAAGACAATACTATGCTTTGAATAAAAAAAAAAAAAAAGCAGCCTGTACATATCAACCCCCAGTACTGTTTTTGATTAGTGAAACCATTAGTGCATGTTACAGTAAAGCTGCATGTAAGATTAAGTCCTTCCCTCTGAAAACTGATAATCTAATGAAAAAGTGAGTATCTGCTACAGAAGTACATTCTCTGCGACCATGGGATAGACAACGGATGCTAACTATTATATATACAATATATAATACATTCGCGCCAAACTTACAATGCAAAGTGGAACCACGCATCAGAGAGAATTGACTGCAGATCTGAAGGCCTAAGCAGAAAGATGGCTACACTCTAGGTAGACAGATATATAAAATACAGAAACGGCAATAAGAGAAAGCAAGGCTCAAAGCTGATTTTTCAAAATCATGTATTTGAAGTTTATCTCTTAAAAAAAATCTCTCTACTAATAAGACATGATAACCTCTAAAATTAAAAATCTTTTCCTAGTGCTGTAAAAAAATGCTTTTACAGAAGTTTAGAAAGCAAAACATGAGAGTCAGAATTTCTGTCATCACTGGCATAATTTAATAGTTAATTTTTTAAAAGGAGTTACTAACTCTTTTTAATTACTTATACTATGAAGTAAACAATATACCCGGGTCTTTTCTGTTGCAGATTCTAATTCTGCTGTTTCCTCATACAGAACCCTCATATTTGTTTCACAGAGCAATACAGTTATATCAGATTTATATCTAGGGTCATTCAGAATGAGCGATGTACTATGCCAAAGACTTCTAGACGTTATAGAAATCATAAAGATATTGCCAATGTGTTGCCAAGATTATCAGCAATGCATTCCCAGATCCAGAGTTCTTCACATATTTCGTTATGTATTTGTTATTAAAAAGCCTTACCTCTTTTATGGCTAAAAATATTGCTCCTAACATAACCATCACCTGTCCTGATAACTGCAGCCATCCCATGCCACGTGTTAGAGCTAGTGGATAAGGTGGAGCCTGCAAGACAGATCCGAATTAACAGGAAAGATTCTAAGTTCAGTATCTGGAGGTTAAAAGGCAAAATAATAGGAAGCCTCAATGTATGTAGCCCTCTGGGTACCCAATTTCTTCCAGTTCATTGAGAGTTTTCCTCACTGAGGATTTAGAGAATCAGACCCCTAACATGCATATTTGAAATATCAGACGTTTCTTTCTCAGTTTGTTAGAAATTAAATAAAAGAAAAGACCACCCTGTGCTTTTAGAAACATAACTCTCTCTCTCTTTACATTACGTGGCTTTTGGAATGCTTTTGCAAAATGCAAATAGAATTCTCTCTTCTATTATTGCTCTCCTTCCTTGCAGATGCATGGATCCAATATGGGAGAACCTGGTCTCACTACAATCAGATATTCTGACATCTGTTTTTGTTTTTTGGATTCACCAACTTGTTAAATATGAATCAGGAAGTACTACTGCATTTTAAAGCAGGGAAACTTGTTGCGCTTTTAAGTTGCTATACTCACTTCATCTTCATTAGGCCTGTGGTAGGAAACTAATGTTAATGTTACGTTGTACAGGAAATAAAAGCAACATGACATAAAAAACATGTGTCGTGCAAATTTCTTCCATTTCATTCTCAGAAGGGCATTCAGAGGCTCCAAAGTCAGCATTTCATGACGATTCTGTAGAAGTAAGCAAGCAATATTTGACTTGTCACTTGTAAGGAAACTGAGACAATTGAGTGTTTCATTGAGCATCTGTCCTTGCTGATCTGGAAACACATCTATGCTCAAGGATATATGTCAGAACCTAAACTGGCAAAACACGGTCAGCCTACTTCAACTCACACTCTGAAAACCTGGCATGTTCTAGGAAAGTATCATTAAGCTAAAACCGTAGTGTGAACTTCTGGTTTGGCCTCCTACAGAAGTTTTATTGCAGTATTTAATAAATGCCAAATTCTAGCTCTGAAAAGCTAGAATTCTGTGATAAGGTGCTGCTTAAATGCCTACAATATATTCGTCAGGTAACGTTTGCAACTGTTTTAGGTAAAGTCACAACCAAATGGCTGTATTGACTCTTAGCAGCATCTTCTTTTAAATCAACTGTGTACAATGTATCAGTTAACGGTAACAACTGTATTACCTGTATTAACAGGAAAAAGATCTCTGACGGCCTGAGAACATTTTACATGCCATGAGAAGAAACAGCAGCACAGCAACAACAATGCTATTAGCAAAGACAGGGAACACCTGTCCACAGGCTTTTATGGGTGCTAAACTTTGATAGGCATTTCATCAGGGCACAAAATAGAAAACCGCCGCCTCTGACTCAGGAAGCTGGTGAGCTGCAATTTGGGGACGGGTGGAGCGCTCTAGGAAAGCATCACTGCCTGTTTGCTCTGTTCTTGCACACTTTCCTAGGCAGCCGCTAAAGGCCGCTCCAAGCGGACAAGACTAGCTTTGGTCTCACCAGTGAGACCAGTTTTATGTTCTTATGCATGGCAAATTAATACTCTAAATGTAGAAAAAGTGTTCCCAAAATGCCTAGCCAAAGTTTCAGGAACTGAATGCATATGTACTAACATCTGAGAGTCCAAAAGGCATAAAACTCATCTTGCTCCCAACAGAGAACTGAACTGGAAGTTACATATCTTCCTGTTTTACAAGTTCTTCAGTCAAACGTACAGGCAAACGTACACCTGAAATGAATGTACTGCTAGAAAATACATAGATTTTAATAACAACAACTTACGCCAATATTTGTATTATAGACAATAATTTCCAGTACTGAATTGTCTGTGGTGGTATCTAGTTCTGTCAGATCATAAAGAGAAGACTGAACAGGACCATAAGCCCAGTCTGTGAATTTTCTTGATAGGCTCCTGTTGGGCTTATCTCTTATTTCTCTGCTGAGGATGTATTTCAAAATCTAAAACATTAACAGAATCATTTGTAAGCAAATGCATTTTTCTTCGCGGAAAAGGAGAGAGAGCACGTACATCCTTGCCAAAACCGGTACCTTACAACTATCACATTTGCTACAGTGGTGCAATTCAATGTATTTGTAATTTTGTCATTCGGTAAGTGGTGTTAGAGGTGACAGACCCCTGGGAGATAAACACAATATTTTTCATGCCTCTGAATCTTCTGTTAAAGAGATGTTTTTCTCAGAAATTAAAGCACAGTTTTACTTATGTTCACATTTATATTTTCTGTTAACTTAATCAATAACTTTCTAAATTATCACATTTTCAGTTATTTGCCATAATACAGCTACTTGATTTCTAAGGGCCAAATTTTATAGCAGGGCAACAGAACATTTCTGGTGAGTTTTCTGGAACTATTCATAGATTCTATAATTGTACAAGTGTAATATAATAAATGTAGTATTTCTGAGCTAAACATTATTCTAAAAGTGTATCTGGCAGATCTTGAGAGAATAAATGATAAACTGAAATAGTTTTAAACTAGATAAGTAATTATTTGTTTAGATTTTGAAGTTCAGCTCCAAGGTTCCCAGATTTATTTCTTTCACTTTTTATATACCAGCACAAAATTCCAAATACTGCAGAAAAGTTGTATTTGCATAAAAACAAATTTTATTTTAATCTTTAAAGCCATACTATCAATATCAGCTTTCAGAAGCTAAAATTCTTGGTTGAAATTACATGTTCTACTTATGTTGAAAATAGATTTCATTCCTGTTGCTAAGCTCTCAGCAAAGGTGTTTTTATGTCTTCACCCAGCAGGAAGCAGGAACGAAGCACAAAATACTAAAACAGCCACTCAGCACGATAGTGAGATTTGTACTGTGAGCAAGTCATTTCTCAGTTACATGAAGAAGCACAAAGTGCCATGGACACCTCTCCTTGGCTGGGCCGGGCCTGGCCCGTTCTCTCTAACAAACCGTGTTCACAGGACAGAAAAACAAGTACAACTTGGTGTGGGGTGATGCTGCTAGTCCCTGCACTAAGCACAGAGTGTTTTGTGCCAGGCAGACGTTGTCTGTGTATCTTGCTACTATGCGTGCATTTAACACAATGGGCATTCATCTCCTTCTCCAGAACCTGCCTCTGTATAACAGAAAGGTTTGCAAGGCTGTTTTTAAATAGCACTTGTATTACGTGCAGAGAGGGGTTCTTAGAGAAAAATTTGAAGAGTAGAAGCAACATCACAATAGAAATATCCGTTTGCATTTTGAATAACACCGGCTCACCAAATACTATTGATACTTAGTATGGCATAACCAGCACCGGAAAACTACATATCAGGGCACTAATGTCTGAGTACATGGCTGGCCTAGACTCCTTCATCATATTTAGTTTCTCTTAGAGACTCCTGAAATAAGACTCACCTCCAATTTGCCAGTTTTTGCAGCTAATTGTAGTGGTGTCAGACCCTCCTTATTCTTCGCTGTTTCTAAATTTCTATCTTTACTTTTCAATAAAATCATATCATACATTCTGATTACAAAGTCATTCTGGGTTTTAAAGTCTTCTGCCACAGTAACCAGTGCATGCAGGATATTGTTTCCTCTGGAATCCTGAGAAGTAATGTTAGTCCTGGTATTGTCCATTAATAGCTGAATTATGTCTGGCTGATTGGTACATGCAGCTAGTGCCAGTGCAGTTTCACCTACAACATTACAAAACATAACAAGTGTTTGCGGTTTATTACAAGCACCCGAATCACGTTACAAAAGAGTGACTGTTTTAAGCATCTTAATATATTAAGGCACATTTACATATTGATTATATAGAATTTAGATCTTGGTTTATAGAAAAGCTTAATCTGCATGAAAACATTATTTGGAGAAAAATCTTCAAATTCAAAATTTTTACATATTATTTACCATTCAGCATTTAAACGTAATTGCCTTACAATCATTTCTGAGTGTTTGTAATACATTGCACTCTGGCAGGTTACTTCTACTTATGCTAAATTAAAAAAAACAAAAATATTGTGCCATTATTGTATCTTGTGCATGAGTTTCTTGATCTAGGCTTAGCTAAAGTAATGATCTGCACTTGCCCCCTCTTCCATAGTGTCCTAGTTGTTTGGTTGTTCCTTCCCAACTTTTCCCGAGAGATTGCACTTCCACTTACCAAAATAAAAACCTTCATGCTTATGTTTTGGATTAAAGAAAATACCCTGGGCACGAGCATTGACATCAGCTCCTTTTTCTATAAGGATCTGAGTGATTTCAGATTGTCTTCTTTCAATGGCAATATTTAGAGCTGTCTGGCCTGAAACAACAGACATAGTATTTCAAGCATTGTACAGCATTAAGCACACTGATGTTTCATAACAGATAGCACCAGTAATATTGAATAAAAATTGTTTAAAAAATGTAAACTATGATTAGAATGCTTGAGGAAAGTATTATGTTTATGGATGGTACATTTGACCCTATACCTGAAATTGGTTTCAAATATCAATACCTTTATATGCCTCTTCTGTGTATGCTGCATTGATAAACCTCTCCAAAATACCATTTGCTTCTGCAAAGGATAGTAGCATATTCACTACCTCATTTGTGTTTTGGTTGATGTTCAGCAGAGCTTTCATCAAACAAGTTTTGCCAGTATCTGAAGCTGTGAATTTTTTCATCAGATAATCTGCAAGAGTAAATTTTGAGATTAAATCAGGTAGGCTTCATTATTTATGGAGTGGATCGAAAAATTCCAACCTTTTGTTTATTACAGGTGGAACCTGGGGGAAATACATGCGCATAAACTATTCGGCAAAAATTACTCCATCCTATTCACTCTGTATTTGAGTTACGCTAACTTGGTGAGACAATATATTCAGAGATGGGTACTTGTGAATAAGTTAGCCAATGGGCTAGGTTTCTCTCTTTCTCACATCCCATTGCCCTGTTAACTCCAGACATACCCAAAGCCCTCCTTAAGCGTAGGCTTCCCTGGCAGAAAGGCCACAAGAACATAGCTGCTCCTAACTTCTCTGCCCGCTCTTTCTAGGCTACCCACATTGCAAGCTCTGTTACTGCAATTAAACTGTTTACTGCAATTAAACTGGCTGTGGTTTGAATAGACACATAGCTTTGAGTCTCAGGCTGCAGAAGGCCAGCTCAGGTACGGCTGTGGGAATACAGCGCAGGTACACCCTCGGTGTATCACAAATGGGAGAGAAATGCTCTCCAGTGTTGCCTCAGAGGCTGCGAGTAGGTAGCTTATTGGATACCTTCTTATTTCTAAATTGAAGCTTATATGTGACATACATTGAATTGCAACCGGTTGACTTCAAATTGACAAGCAAGTAGCTGTTGTACAGAGATATTTTCCCGTTTTAGACTATATGTAAGCTGCCAGAAAAGGTAATAATCTTCCTTCAGGCAACTCCACAGCTTACCTGGCACAGTCATGTTTGTACATGTGTTCGATCTTTCCTTCAGCTCTGCAAGCAGACATTGCAATTCCTCTGTGTTCCCCTCAGATACTGCCCTAAATATATATTTTTTCAGCTTCTTCCGGGCACTGGTCTGCCCAGGTCCTTGTGATATGTTAGCACTGAATTATCAAAAACAACAATGAAATAGCCAACTCAATTTACTGTGTTTTACTTTCTAGGTAAGAGAAGAGGATAAAGAAATTGAATTACTTGTCCTAGACTATATATACTTGCTCCATTACCATATATGCCTTGCCACACACCTCAAAATATTTCTGCAGATAGCCACTTCTCTGCCTTTAAGCAATTAAAAGAGTGTTTATAATAAAAAATGTGTATTTTTCAAGTGAAATTTTTGCTTTTTTTGTCAGTTTGTATGTTCTTCTAATACAAAAGCTAAGTAAAACTAATGATCTCAATTCTTTCCACCTTTCTTTACAGTGTCTTCAGTGCTACTGCTCTCCCTTCTTCTCTGATCTGTCCACACGTGTCCTCAGTGACCAGATTTGATGCTGCACTCTGGCTATGACCACCCTACTCACAGCAGAGGATAATTTTTAACCTCACATCCTCTTACACAGCTCTCCTGGTGATACATTATTCTGGAACAAGAATTTAATATCTCCCCTTTCCCTTCCCCCTGCCATCAGAAATACTCCCCACTGATTTCCTTTGGAAGCTTCTGTTCAAACATCAGCTATATCTCTTCCTTTCTGAATGAAACTGGCTACCAAGATTATTAGCCCTCAGAAATGTTAAGCGAGTGCGTTTTGTTCATTCCATCAAGCCAACAAATATTTCTTAATACTGACCAAAATAGAGGGCAATATTTCACCTCTAAAATGTTTTCTATATTTAGAAGAAATTGCTTTTGAAGAAAGAAAGTGTTGTATTGCTGCTAAAGAATATTGGGATTTTAGCATTTGCTTGTGCCTTCTTGTGTGTAGTGTTTAGGTCCTGTGCTGTCTTCAGTGAAACTTAAATAAACAACTCAAACCTCTGCTTTTCTCAAATCTCATATTTAGTGTGAGGATGCTTGATATATAATTTCTAAGTTTAATTACTGAAGATTCCGAAATGTAGATCATACGTATGATCTTACTTCTAAGTAATGGCAGGCGAAAAATCACCAACACCTATCCTACCATATACTTTATCCATAGAAAATGCACTAGGAAATACTCCATGTCTCCACTCACCAGCTTTCTACATTAGGGCTATATTCAGTCACGTCATCCTGAAGAGACTGTGGGGAATCCATATCTTCCCCATTTCCAGATACACTAAAAAAAAGTACAGAAAATGATAAGTGCTAAGTCAGGCAGGCATTCTGGCAAATTGCATGAAGAAACAGTCAATGCTAGGAAGCAGTATCTACACTAGAGCTGAAATCAATCTAATTTGACATTGTGCTTTTTAATTCCATCATTTTAGCTCCTCTGTGTATTTCAAAATAAGTGATAAAAGTGAGAAGACTCACATGATTTTTTTCATGTTAAAAATCATTAGGAAAGCAACCTATTTTACGTATTTCTATGTTATTTCATTACAGATCCCTGCTTTTTATGCATCTCCCTGAATGTGGGACGTAAAGATTACGTTCTTCCTTTTTGCATGCTGAATTTGTCACATACCACAAAACAAATATTATTGTGCATGGGTTGCAAACACCCAGTGAAAGTGATTTACCTAAAGATTTACTATGCAGTACGCTGTAGGTAACTCAAGAGAAATTTGGCAGCTGACTTGAATGGAAGCTTCAGCTAAAAGAAATTGAAGACTGGGCCCTAAATGCATATTTAGGTAATAAATTTAAAGGATTCCACTGGTATTGGTATTCTGTAATTACTGTACACTCTTTTCCAGATATTTCTGAACACAGATCTGACTTAAAGATGAATTGATGGTCATTTTTCTTACTTGTATTTTGGTTTTCTATAAGGCTTATATTTTATGAACAACTTCAGGTTAATGATGTAGGAGACTGAACTGTTATTGATAAAATGGGTACATGGACAGTAATGAAAGGATTCTGCACTGCTCTGCAGATATTCCCATCCCTTTGAAATACAGCTGGTAGCTCAGAATCCATTCTTATTCAGTCCATCACTTCTCTGCAGAAAACCGTGAGGAATCTGGTGACAATGTGCATGTGTGGCGTGCAGGTCTGGCTCTGAATGACAGGGAGATATTTGGATACCTCTCTGAAACCTAAGCAGGGTTGTCAGCTAATTCTGCATAGTTGACCAAACACCCATCAGACAAAAACATTTGGCCGTTCTGGGCCTATGATAAGTTTGATGAATATGTTCCCTATTCGTAATTATTGGCTTTTAGTACCTCTCAACATTTTAAAAATTAAGTGCATCCTTCCCAGTCATAATTTTTCTCTATTCATTCAGCATAAACGTATGTCTTTAAAATCTCATACACAGCATCTTCCTATTGTTTGATTGTTGATGAGCAACAGAGGGAGGATGCCAGCGCACAGCTGGGAATAGGGCTTGCTAAATTAAGCTGTGGTCTTCACGTGGGTTTTGCAGCAGAAAATGCACAAATGGGTGAGTGAATTTCCTCCTAATATGTCACAAATAAGGGGCTAAGAAAAAAAAAAAAAGGAAGTATTGATTTTAAATTTATTCAAATTTGAGGCCTAATTTATTCAGAGTAAATGACAACACTAGATAAAGAGAAGTCATCTGGCAACAACTGACATCCATCAGAGTTCTGTCTCTGATGTAACCAAAAGCTATGAAAAGCCACCTGAAATTTTAGCTCTGAAGTATAGGGAGAAGTGAGGAGTAACTGCTGAAAAGAAAGTAGCTATATTTGCAATGGCTGTTCCATATGCACCTATAACTTACCACGGACGAATGTTTGAATCCATAGGTTTTGAAAACACAGGGGGAGATGTATTACTTGGAGTTGCATTGCTTTCAAAGCCATCAATCTCCAGAAAAAAGTGTGAACTGTTGAATACATTGCATTAAAAAGTTGTTAGTAAAGAGGCAAACCACCATAAAATAAACAAAGCAGTACCCATACATGCCTTGGACAAGCTTGACAATTTATATTTTCTGGCATCGTATCTAATAAGATGCTGGCATAGAGGCTTATCTACTTTTCCCCGGGGGTATCCCAGCCTCAAATATCACGCCCAACACTTTTGTGCTGACAGATGGGCAAAAGATCTTGAGATATTTTAGGAGACACGGTATCAGATCCTGACAGGTCTAAGCAGCCACCCCAGCAGTCTAAAAACAATCTTGCATCCAACCTCTGTGCAAACAGCTAAATGCAACACCAGTCATTTATTGAAGAGCCATACATGTGTGTGTACGGACATACATATGCACATGCTTTTTAATCTACTGCATTCTATCCCCTATATGTCCAGCCAGAAACCAGCAAGATGGATTGTTCCAAGCCTATCAGCAGTGATAAACATTAAATTAGAAAGCTGGAGAGGTCACATGTTAAATGACATAAGACTTTTCCACCCCCAGGACTGAATGTGCAATGACATTTAACTATAGCTATCTAAGCTATTCGTAGGGAAAAGAAAAGAAATGTGAACCAACACAGGGAAAAGGACCATGAGAAAAATAGGAAGATTTATCCCTTTAAAAGCCTGTGGGGTTGGAGGGAAAGTCAATAGCTTGAGATTACTAGGTCTCATTAAGCCATTGTTACATTTCATCTAAGACAGGGGAGTTTCACTGATGAATGCAGTGATTCCCACACGGCCTATAGTTTAGAATCTGTGTTATCTTTCTAAAATGTTCTAGTAATCACCTGGAAAATATTTCAAATTCACCTAATATTGGTGGCTTAGACAGTGAGATAGTTCTTCCTGCCCCCCCACCCCCACCTCCCACAAAGAATGCAACTGAATTAAAATACACACATTGATGTTAAAATGCAGTATGTTATTACATACAACCTGTTGATATCCACTAAAAATAGCATGATCTAACATCCCTCTCATTTTCCAGTGTCTTGGTGCTCCAAGTGTCAATTCGCTGTGTGTAGACATTTAAACTTACATGACCTTTTAACATCTGAGATGTGCCTGTGAATGCATTCTAAGCATGCAGCAAACAAAATGCCACTTCTGGTGAGCAGGACTGTGTCCCTGCAATTACTTAGGCAGCGGGGCATCCTTAACAGTATAGGAAAGACCTAGACAGAAAGCGGACCATTGCCATTACTTACACCACACTTGTCAGATTCACAGCTGCTGCAAATCACTATTGCTTCATTGGGATCTGAATTTGGCAGAGACTAAGAAGGAGTGGAAAAAACATGGGTTCATCCTGCTTTTTTGCATTCCCTAACTATGATGTGCAGGATCTGCCTCAACAGGCAAACAGCTTTTGGTGGCCTTAGTGAACCTCCAACAAGCCTGGAGAAGCACCACACTTGAGGCTTTGCGGACCGTCTCCCCTGCCTTTGGCTCAGCATTGGAAGGGAAGCATGTGCCACCGGCTGATGTCCCCGAGAGCAGCTCTTGCTCTCCCAAAAGTGCCTTCATGCTGAAGAATTTGGCATCCAATGGATTTATAGCAGCTATGAAGTGGGCCCTATTTTGGAGGCTGACATACCTAACCTATCCCAGCACGTAGGTTATTTGGGGATACTACAGGTGTAGAAAAGAAAAAAAGCCATGCAAAGCAAGTCGACAACTGCCAGAAAATACCCAAGTGCTTACGTGGCCGTGGTGCTCACTGTCAGGAACATTACCCACACACACAGTCAGGCTCTGACAACGTTGTCAACGCTCCTCCCAGCCTGCCTGTTGGTTTTCCTGTACTTAATTATATACTGTTAGTTCACCCAAATACCAAAGGGGCTTCAAGAAGGGAGAAGTCATTGTCTTCATAAAGTACATATCGCCAACACATCTGACAAGTGAGAAATGCCACCCATGGAAGCGTACTAACTGCTTAGTGGTACAGCACACCAGAAAAAAACATTTTGAAGCAAAAGAAGTACAGCAGCATAGGAACACATAATTAACAGAATATGTTAAACCTCTGTATTAAAATTCACATGATCTTCATTCCTTATGTTACAGGAACGTTGTCTGCCACACCCTGAACTCCCAGTTGTGAGACGGGAAAACCCCCGAGGTTACTGTTATTGATGCCACAAAACCGAACGTGATATAGGAGCTTAAGTAACTGAAGGGCAGTATTTGTCAATATTTGCTGTAACTAGACAATCTTCCAGGGAATTGCCTGTTTCTGAAGTACCAGGTGTATTGTGAGCTCTTCAGATACCTTGTCTCACCCTTTTACAACTCGTGTCATGATTCAAATGAAGAACTTCTTTTGAACTTAATGACAGAAGGAGAAATTAGGCTACCCAGGCAGTAGGTCTCAAATAACTAATTATACCATTTCTGTAGAAAGTGATTCCTCCGATTATTAAGAATTATAAACGTCAGCGCAGCCACAGTTCCCTGGACCTTGAAAGTTCCAAAAATTGCTATAATAGCTAGTAATTAGGCACAGAGTGAAAAGTTTATGAATGAAAATTCATGCTCACTCTACAGTAACTATCAGGGATGAACGACTACTTACATTTCCCTATTAACATTAAATACAAACCTTTAATCCACATCTTGATTCTCCAGCATAAATTATACATGAAAATGAATATTTTATTCTATAAAATAAAATAGTTGAGAAAACTCATTGATCAGAATCATGAAAAATAGAGTGAATTCAGGTTTCTGTCTGTGATAGGATTCCTCAAACCGCCTGCTCTGCCAGCCCTCATCTTTTAATTTCACCTCTGTGTCCTCATTATCTGTCACGTTCCCATGTGAGGCTAAGTTTGAAATGATCCCTTTTTCCATGTCAGCCTCTCTCTTATTTAAAAGCCAGAGTATCCTGCCGTGTGATCTCTTTAAAAAGATCTCTCCACTTTCTCCTACTGAAACACTGACCATTGTTAGATCATGTTCTTGTAGGCTTATACAGACACAAAGAGTAGATGCAGAAAGCCCAGCCGACATGAGACACAAGATTAAGACTGGTGCGTGAGTATAACGTCCCTGGCATAGGAATTACGTCTTTGTCCCATTAAGGTGAAAACATTACACATCTACCAAACTACCAGGATAATCTTCCGCTTATTAACTGCATAAGTGCACTATTTTTTAGGACACCTTGTGTTCATCAGGCCCATGTCATTCATACACACTGGAGGAATAAAGTTGTTAGTAATATTTCAGTGCTAACATCTACTAAAGGAGATAAAAGAGGTAGTTTTACTGTTCTAGAATAAGCTGGAGTCCTACCTTTTCTTTGTGGGAGTGCTTTCAGTCGTCTTTTTCTCTTGCTGGTTTGAAGGGGGAACACCAGACGGATTTGCTTTCTTGCCCATTAGTGGAATAATTTCTTTGTTATCTTTAATCATGTTTCTGCAGTAGATAGATCTACAGTTATTTAACTCCCTGGTCATTTGAAGAAAGCATGGTGACCAAATCGCCTCTTTCCACTCTCTTCACATGTAAGCGCACAAATCTTGACATTTTTTTCAAAGCTTTTCATTTTCAGTTACTAAGCACATACACACTGTTTTATGTGTCAAGGTTGGAAGGTTATATTCATGACTGATTAAATTACATTCTAATGAAAGTGGGATAAAGAAAGATACCATCAATCCAGGAGAATCATAACTTCAAGTATGCACCTAAGTTAAACTGAAGGGAGCCTGTCAATCACAATGACAGCATATGTTATTTAGAGAAACAAAACGAGCAGAATGACTTTTGTAAGTAGCTCCAACGTTTGTGCACCTCTGCAGTTAATCTAAGGAGTCTGTTCTTACCTATCCAAGACAATTTTAGGAAACTGGTAAATTCCAGTCTGCTGCAACAGGTACAATGTGTGAAGGAAGGTTTCAGACATGAAGCGTAGCGAGCAGAGAAAAAGCCCTGAAGTTTTTCAATGTATTAGAATAAAAGAAGCAATAGGCAGAGTCTGAATACTAACCCCAGGCAGAGCTCAGCTAAAAACAATCTTATCACACGGATCACACCAAGGACTTGTGTGTCCTAGCAACACTTCTTAACATTTCTTCAGGAAAAAAGAAAAATCATGACTCTACTAAGTGTGAACAATCACCACCATGTGACACAAAAGGACCTTAGTGCATTTATCTGCTTATGAACACTCACAGCATGAAATCTGTAAGTAATAATGAATACTTATCTTTCTATTTCTCAATATAATACTTAAGGGCATCATTTTAAATCACTGAGGATAACTTAAAAGCAAGAGAGTAAATTTAGGATCCTTTAAAAATCCATTGCATGTAGAAATAGCAAGTTTTACAAAGTCATGAATCCCTTCCCAAGCAAATCAGGGAAGTGCCTTCCATAACCAAGGACATACAATAACAATCACTGCCTGCAGGTTTGAACAAAATGATTTTTCCCCTCCTGTCTCCACTTTCCTTAATGTGACATATGTGCAAAGAAATTTTATACTCCTGTCACAGTACTGTCAACTAGAATTTCTTCATGATGGGAATAACAAGATGCAGAAAGCAGACTGTGGAGTGTGTGTGAACAGACATGATCGCTGGTGTTAGAGAGGCGATGAATACATGGAATACATTGATACTGGAATGAAAATCCATTAGTGCGTGTATGACAATTGTTTGAATACAGGAAGATCTTCAGTCCTAAGGATAGAGGACTGAGAGTTTGCAAGGCCCAAACACCTGTAAATGCAATTGTAATTTCTTGTAACTAACAGGAATAGAGAAGAGAGCTGAAATACTTGAGAGTACCCTTTACCTTGAAGGGGTTTGTACATATCAAAAATAAAACGTTACAGTATTTTCTACCACTGGTAGACATTTTTACGTGACAAATGTGAAACCACGCTAATGCAAATCAGAAACATGCATAATTTGGATGCATTTCCTGAGAATTCATACCACAAAACTCACAGAAATAAATCATAAAGGACAAATCTGATGTTACTTTACACACTTGCAAACAAAGGACACACTGTGGTAGGCGTATAGAAGAACAGAACTTAGATGTTACATAATTTGAGGTAGGAAATAGAGTTCTGTCCATGCCTTTGAAAAATGCAGTACTGTAGATCTGCAAACACATTGTATTGGTTATTAAAACATAGCTAAAACAAATTACTGTTGTCTTGTTTAGTTCACAAATAATTCTGCTATTTACTTCTTGCAGAATGCCTTAAGAGTACAGTGCAGTTTATAAGCGCATTAAAGGCATGGTTCTTGACGTACTAAATGAGGTACTTGACGTAAATCAAATATAAGGGGACTAGAATAAGATGGAGACTGGCATTAAATAACTTCACAAAAGAAGTGACTTTAGAGAAAGAGAATAGCTGGAAATAGACCAAGAGGTAGAAGAGCAGGTCAAACAGGGGGTTGTGCAAAAGGAGTTGCTGAGCTGAGATGGGCACGGCCAGCAGGTGTGTGAGAGCTGGAGAAGTCAGAGAGAGCAGTAGGAAGAGCTGGAGAAAATAAAAACTGAGGTTGACGTCTATAAAGCACACAAAGGACAGGGAAGAGCCGCTCATTTGTGAGCGATGCCAGAGCTGCTCAGATACAATAGCATGCTTCTGTATGGGCCAGCTGTGGGAGAGCAAGGTTAAGCCCCTTCTGCAGCCAGTTTTCACAGAAGAGATGTTAGCAATAGCTTAAGAGTAGGCAAAGTGGTTCAGGAGATGTAATGTCAGAGCACTGAGGTTGTACTGTGTAATGAAAGACAATTGAACCATCAGTGATTTAAGGAAACAATTTGGGGAAGAAAAAGAACAAAGTTTCATTTTTGTATACACGGACTACAGCTTTCAAAGGCACTTGGGAGACTGGACTGTGTAGTGCAGCCACAGAGACAATTTTAAATGAGATCTCAAGTCTGCACAGGTAAATAACTGCAGGCACAGTGGAAGAAGTACCTTGTTACTGTGCAGAGGTAGCATCTGTTTCTCATTCGTAATCACGATTAATTGCAGGCTCCGATGAAAACCAAGGTAGGGCTTTTCACAGTATGGCCTACAGAGATCACTTCGTGTTCTGGCTTTATCCATGCAAATCTCATGGAAGTTAAAGGAGCTTTTTTTTTTTTTTTTTTTTGCTTATCAGCTTCTTCCCTCCCTCTGTCTTGTTAGTTTAATGACCTACTACTTTCATCATCATCAGAGATCTCCCCCTGCACTATCGTTTTCTCTAATCTATGATTTACAGAGTAAAAAAGCGCAACAGTCCAGAGAATGCCCAATTATATGTAGTGCAGCTTACATAACCTGATATGGAGTGCCTTCTTTTGGTGCAACTATTTTTTACTTTCATTTTCTAGTTAATTGTTACTTTCAGGCCACCAGAGAAGTGGTTTATTTGAAGGGAGCAGTGAGACAAAAAATACTATGTTGATTTATAGTATTAAAAATTAATTTGGAGGGGATGGTGAGTACACTGAGGACTTAGTATCTCACTTCCAGCGTGGTGGGGATGAGAAAAGGCCATATATCTGCAACGGTGAATGGGACTCTGCCACTCTTACAGCAAATGATACTCTATGCACTACCACAGACTCTCCTCGTGCTTATCTGAGACCAAGGAAAAATCATACATATTTGTATCTCTGTAGATCAATGATAGTATAAACACAGTAGCTAAAGACAGAATCATACAAATGACAAGAAACGCTCAGCTGTGCTATCATGGGACAAACTCTACTTCCTTCAGGGCAGAGGAGTGGAAGTGACTAATAACAGCTGTTTCATTCACAGGATCCTCCAAACATCCACAGCACAGACCACCCTTTCCAGCACCTACAAGCTAATTCGTACTAGCTCATAGAAAAAATATCATCTTTCCCCTGGGGAAAGATGATAAAATTCCATTTTGGCTTTTGTGTATTATTTATGATATGGTATGAATCCAATCAGGAGAAAGTTACTCTTGATAGAAAGAGAGTTTCATCTTTCTGTAAGATTTTCGAACTTTTGAGAGGCTGTAGGAGAGATTAGGTACTATCTAAATGTGTTTTTCTTCTTGGTGAGAAATTTGTTCTTTCCTAGGATTTTTTTTTTTTTAAGAGAAATTAAAAAAAAACCCTCTGTGAAGAGCAACCTTTCTTCCCTGAGGAAAATGCTTTAAAATTATTCACCTGCCTATGCCTATTTTAGACAAAAAGAAGACATTTTAATGAGCTGAAATAAAGATTGTTCCACTCAGCCAGGTATTTTATTTTTGACACTCACTACAGTAACTGAGACTTTCAATAGGAGGTGAAAATATTATTTAAGTTTAGTTTGTATGACAGTATATGTTGGATCCTCTTTGCACAGAAATTAGGAAATGCTATCGTGCGCATCAAGGTGAAAAATATACATGAAATTAGCTATATCTTTTTTCACTTCTGAATGCCCAAGGAGTCAATGCGACATGGCTCAGAAGAAAGATTAATAAACTAGAAAAACAGCAAGAAGCACAACAGAAAAGCCTTCTCCAGTTGAAAGATAGGTTTAGTCTTTGTCTTTTAAAGATTTCATTCTCCATAAGAGCGTCACACCTAAACCAAACACTCACAGCAGCTCTCACACAACTTACCATGCTCATGAAACTTGCATTCAGGTGTAGAAAAGGCACCTCAGAATTGTAGGATCCTGCTGACACTGCGACAACATCCAAAAACACTAATATACCAAATGAGTAAAACTATAATCAGGCTCCAAACTATCTGAAAAATGCAAAACCACCCTCCTTCAGTCGACCAGGTTTCTCAGCTGATAGAAAGCACAGAGAAGTGCAGTGCTGGAGTACTGCAGCCTTACAGGATTTGTTACTTCGTAAATTAGGGAGCTGAGAGAAACTTGCTAGACAACAAACTTTACTTCGTAACTGCCAAAGTGGGATGACACATATACACGTAATAATTATTTAGTAGCACCGAAGTGTTACTAAAGCTGAGTCGCTTAAGGCTGACTTACTGGCAGCAGTATAGTATCTAAAGCAATCACAGCCCTCTGCAGTTTACATACTGTTTTCAAAAGAAAATGGTTACGCACATGCATTTGGGTTGCAAATGACATCCCTTTATGTCATGCTTAGTTTATTGTATGTTATGGTACCTTTCAGAAAGCACAAGGTGAAAATGAGAAAAAGATCATGATAAGTGTTCCAGAAAGCAAAAATATTCACTGTTACTTTGAGAAAGGAGAAATGGGCTTAGAAAATCTTGTATTTTCACAGTGATAATG